ACGATTCAATGGAGAAGGCATTTCTGACAGAAGGATTCACCAATAAAACATTCCTGAAAGAAGAATTCATCAGAGAAAACACAGAACATCCCAAAAGATGACACCTGGCTGTAATTTTGAGACACTAAATTCTAATTTTTAAAATTTTATTTTATATAAGTGGGACTTGTACTTATTGGAACAGCATACCATTATAATCTTGTTTTATTCATGAATAGTTAGTAGTTAAAAGGGGTTTATTTAGTTTGTTAATAGCTTAGCTGGTTTGTTTACTGTTAGAGTTAGATAAATAAATTGTTACTTTAAAGTGCGTGTCAGGGGTTTATTTTATTTAACGACTCCTTTGTAACAGATTGGGGGCTCTTTAAACAGGTTATAGGGCAAGGCACACCTCTGAGTGTTTTGGTTTTAGTTATCAGAGTGGGAGGGGGCGTTTCAACCTCCGCTTTATAATAGTTGCCAACCTGAAAAAGACCTCCCCGACTTGTGTCACTGTTTCCTGCCCATGAATCAATTCTGTATCTAATGCCAATATAGTACCTCCAACACTGTGGGCTCTTGTCTTATGTCTTAACCTTTTTTGAGGTGCCCTCTCGAATGCTGTCTGGAAGTCCAAATACAACACATCTACTGGTTCCCCTCTATCCATTCCGGTTGTGACTTCCTCGAAAAAATCTCTAATAAATTAGTCAGACATATTTTCCCTTTCATGACTCTGCTTGAATAGATCATGATTTTCCAAATGTTCTGCCATTGCTTCCTTAATAATTGATTCCATTACTTTTTCAATAAATAGATGTTAGACTAATCGGACTATAGTTATCTGCTTTTTGCCTCCCTCCCTTTCTGAATAAGGGTGTCACATTAGCAGTTTCAGAATACTTTGGTACTTCTCCAGAATCTTCTGATGTTCATGGATGTCTTTCAGGCTTGAGGAGAGTTTGTACTTCTGCAAGGCTCAGTGTTGGAACCCTTGCTCTTCCTGATATATATTAATGAACTGGACTTTGTACAGAGCATAATTTTAAAATTTACAAATATTACCAAATGAATCATTCTGAATTGTGAGGAGATAGATTAGAATTTCAGAAGAACATGGACCAGTTAGTTCAATGACTGAACGAGTGGCAAATGAAGTCCAATGCAAAGAAACATGAGGGGATTCATTTTAATAGAAAAAACATGGAGACACCATACAAGTTAAAGAATATAAATCTGAATATGGTGTGAGAGCAGGAAGGCCTGGGTGTATATGTCATTGAAGGTGGCAGGACAGGTTGAGAACAGTTAATAAGGTATATAGTATCCTAGGCTTTATTAAAAGGGGCATAGAATACAAGAGCAAGGACATTATTTGAGCTTGTACAAGTCACAAGTTCGGCCTCAGCTGGAGCAGTGTGTTCAGTTCTAGGCATTACACTATGCAAATGTGAAGGCATTGCGAGAGTAGAAAAGATATTTGAGTGGTTTCAGGGATAAGGAATTTCAGTTCCAAAGCTAGATTGGAGAAATCGGGAAAACTTTTCTTGGAGAAGAAAAAACTGAGGAGAGTTGATAGGGGTATTCAAAATCATGAAGGATCTGGACAGACTTTGAGTGGTGAGACTGTTTCTATTTGTGACAAAATTGAAAATGAGACGACACAATTTAAAGTAATTGGTAAAGGAAGCAAATGGACATGAAGAAAATCTTTTTCATGCATCACGCAGTTTAGGTCTGGAATCTCTGCCTGAGAGTGTGGGGGATGCAAATTCAGTCAAAGCAGTTGAGAGAATTAGACTGTTAACTGAAAAGGATTAATGTATAGGGCTTTGTGCAGAAGGCAGGAGAATGGCATTGTGGATTGCTAATTATGAGAGCTGCTATACACATGATTTGCTGAATTGCCTTCTTCTGTGTTTCTGTACGATCCTGTGATTCTTTTAACTTATGACCAAAAAAGTCGAGTAAGTTTATTGTTACAAAATGTAAAGGAGAGTATAATTAAGTCAGAAAAAAAAAATGCTCAAGTTCTATCCCGTCTCATTTTAAACATAACTCACAAACTGTACTTGGATAGATATTACTTGGTACACTTTTCAGTGCATATTTAACATTGCTTTAAGTGACAATCGTTGATGTTCTTGATCCCACCATCTGGAATACTGTCCTTTAATTGTTCTGTCTTGCTATTTTCAAAAGCTGCTTAAGAAAAGCAAATTCATACCCCTGCCTGTTATCTAAACTGTGAAGTGCCCTGGGATGATTGAACATAGAGGGGCTTGCTTATATAATCAGCCATTTTCGATATCTCATCCAGCTCTGATTGCAGAAGACAGCAGCTAAGGTCCTAGCAGCTGTGTAAACCAATGACCCTGAAATTCTAACTACCAAGACAATAAGATGTAAAATTTCACCTGAAGGGGATAATAGTGGTGTCAGGGCTGGTTTTCTGAGACTTGTTTCCATGGTGTTGATAATTCATTTCAATTCTCATCAGCAAAGGGATCCAGTTACAGGAGTGGGAGGGGCAAGATGTGACTTAAAAATCATAGTTAGTGTCAAAATTCCTTGGCAGTCAGCTGAGGAACTCTGTCCAATGCCACCAGTAAATCTCCATAGAATAGAATAGAATCCCTACAGCGTGGAAGCAGGCCATTGCATCCACTCCACTCCTCCAAACAGCATCCCACCCAGACCCATCATATCCCTGTAATCCTACATTTCCTATGGCTAATCCACCTAACCCTGGACACTACAGGGCAATTTAGCATGGCCAATCCACATAACCCTCACATCTTTGGACTGTGGAAGGAAACTGGAGCAGCCAGAGAAAACCCACACAGACACCCTCCTGGTGCCTCAAATATAGGTAAATATAATCCTGCATAAGTAGGAGTTGCCTTGGGTTGGTTTGTTTGTTTGATAGTCAAACTCCAAAAAATATACTTTGTGAGTAGAAATATCTTAATGCTTTAGTGATTATGTGTATATATAAAGATATTTCTATGAACAAAGTATATTTTTGAACTAAAAAAAAGTCCCACCTTCTCAACGTTGTCCCTCACCTCAGGCTAAATCATCACCAGTTGCCTCTCTCTAATAAGAGAGCAGTCCCATGGTCCTCTAGGAGTGTGGGAACTTTACTTTGGGGCTCAGTTGGCTGGACAGTTAGTTTGCAACGCAGTGATGCCAACAGAGTTGGTTCAATTCCCACACCAGCTTAAGGTTACCATGTAGGACTGTCCTCCTTGATATCTCCCCTCACTTGAGACGTAGTGACCCTCGGGGTAAACCACCACCAGTCACGCCTGTATAATGAGAGAGCAGCACCATCGTCCTCTGAGGCTACGGCCACTTACTGGCCTCTGCTCAAGGCATATCTTCCATTTAGCAGAAACAGAGGTACAAATCAGACAGTGGCGGAGATTATACATTACTTCATCATCATTCTTCTTGAACTGCCATCAGAATGTCCTTGACATTCAAGTGCAGCTGATGATATATAGGAAATCAAGTTTGACATTGACTGCAAACCAAAATTCATCTTTTTATTCTCCACTTTGTATACTCTCTGTGCATTTAGGTCTAAACCTCTCTTCTCCCCACTCCCCTACCTCTACTGTCTTTCAGCAGTCACTGCTGCATAGAAACTATGCTAAGGCATATAGCTTAGGACAGTAGACTTTGATGCTAGTTGACTGCTAGTTAATAACACAATTACATACATTTTGCATAATTTACCTAAGCTTAAACTATTTTTAACTGTACGAATTTAGTTAACTCATTTATGAGAAAAAATGATTTACCGATAAACCTAAGTATGGTTGGTTACTCTTCCAGGTTCTAGAAATCATTAATCTACTGTTTATGGGGATCATTTCCTGGCTGATACATATCAAACTGTTCAAAATACTCCAGGACATAAATCATGCTTACACTGAATCAGTTTTAGCTATTAATGTTGATCACACCTGTAATTCTAACACTATGGGATATAATAAATTGCAATAAATTTCTCTCTCTTCCCCACAACCTGATCATTAGTGAGAAGGAAATTTCCTCCTCTCCCCAATCCCTCTCCCTCCTTGAGTTGCCGATATATCATGGCTCCTCACAAGAATAGAGGGGATGACAACAATATGAAGCAGCCTATGATTGCTTGACCATATCCAACTGAATATTTCTTACAGGTCTTTGAGAAGCGGATTCAAATTTATAGTTTTCTCCGAGCTTGTTGGTGATGCTGAAATAGCTAACTAGATGAGAAAACTGAGCTTTGTCCTGTTTCTTGAGCTATAAAATAGCAAGCGCACTTTGCTACAGTGATAACAGTGTATAGTACTGAACCAATACAGACGAACGGAGGTCCAAAGATGGATCCCTAGGCTGAGTTGGCTGATTGCAATTGGAGCAGAGCTTTGAATGCCAGAAGTATCTATTGATGCCTGTGGACTAAGGCAAGAAACATGAAGACAGTTGTATTCAGATATCAGGAGAGGGCTGGATTAGGCTTGGCTGGCCTGTTCTGGCCTCTGCTCACTATATTCCCATTTGACACACATCTTCATTTAACAGCAATAGAACTGGCAAATTTGTGGTTGAATAGCCCAATGAGGCTCACTGCCAGGAATTGCATTGAGAAATGACCGCTCTAATTGTTGCACTGGAGAAATGGGAGCTGTGAACCAGCATCTAGGAAGAGTCAGCACCTTCAGTAAATGGAGACTGAAAATTGGATTGAAGATTTGCATTCGACAGACAGGCTTGATTTATGAAGCAGTTTTCCAGTGAAGACAGGAGGTGGTGGATAACTAGTTTGTACGGTTCCCAGCAATGGACTCAAATCAAAGTGAGAGTTCCATTCAGCCTCTATGGCGACGCCAAAGAATTGAACTACTGTGTTTCACACAGTGGTGGTGGTAGGGAATCGAGCTGTGAGCATGTTGAACAGAGACATGAAAGAGAAAATACATTAAAGAAATACATTTCTTTGTTTAACGTACAATTTTTTTTGACAGAAATACAAGAAATACTGGGCTGTGCTAAGAGGGAACTATCTATATTTCCAAGTGACATGCCGGGATCCAATGGTAGGTTTCTGTGTGATTCTGATTACTGATACCTGTATCTTTTCAACAACACAATGTGAATAAACAAATTGTTTAATTCTTCTAAGATTGTTGGGGTCAGGAGAAGTTGAAAATGCTAGGGAGTCTTCCTCGTGCTTGCCAAAATGAGGAGTATAAAAAATTGTCACCACTAGCTATCATACATTTAAGTTATCTTTTTATTTGGATCTTAAAAAGAAAAGCTTCCAAGATAAGCATGCAGTGAAACACATGCAAGACTTTTAAGGGGAGGCAATGGCCTAGTGGTATTATTACTAGACCTATTAATCCAGAAACTCAGTAAATGTTCTGGGGACCTAGATTCAAATCCCACCATTGCTGATGGTGAAATTTGAATTCAGTAAAAATCTGGAATTTCATGAGTCTAATAATGACTATGAATCCATTGTCAATTGTTGGAAAAACCCATCTGGTTCACTAATGTCCTTTAGGGAAGGAAACTGCCATCCTTACCTGGTCTGGCCTACATGTGACTCCAGACCCACAGCAATGTGGTTGACACTTAGCTTCCCTCTGGGTGATTAGGGATGGGCAACAAATGCTGCTCTAGCCAGAGCTGTCCATATCCCAGAAGGAAATAAAAAAACACTTCTCAGCTCAGCCAGCCAAAAAAACCTACAGTGCCATCCATTAAAATATACAATTGTCGCGGAATCTATTTTTATAATTCTGCACTGCCTTGTTAGACTGCTGATACATTAGTAACCTCAAAAGAAAAATACACAGATTCACCAAGGTCAACATTGAGGAAAAGATTTTAAATCTGATTGGGATATTTCTTTTAATCATTCTACCTAATGATAAATTGGCAAAGTGCCCAGGTATGTGAGGAACTTACAGGTTGATTTATAAATCGATATTATCTTGGCTTCAGAGAAGGCTTACACCTGCTAGGCCTGCATTATGAAAACAAATCTTTGCTTCTTTCAATGGAGATATTGTTCTGACTGGTAACTTTTTGAGCAATCTTGTCATCGGCCTATTTGACAGCTGCAATTTTAAATTTAATAATGTACACACCATTTATATTACAAGCTTGTCTGTAGGGTTTATGCTGCAATAAATGCATTATGAAATGGAAACAATTATTCCTACTTGGTAGTAATGGTCCCAATTATATTTAGCCTGTTTTGGTGGTACAGTGTTGGATAGTGCAGCCTGTATGTTGGGGATTGCAAATGTGATGCCCTCTTTTTCAAAGAATCTTTGCAGCTCAAATTGTGGAAATTCTCCTCTTTATCCTGTGCAGCTCCATTTTAACCTGAAAAGGAATGGTGGCTTTGGGTCAGGTGAGGTAGTCTCAAGTCAGGAGCATCTAGTTTCCTGATGTCACGTGGCCTCCAATCTATACCCTTCCTGAAGCAGAGGTTGGGTGAGCCAGGAAACCATTTCAAGGTGTTTTGGAACTTTATCCACCCTACCTAGAGTCCCTCTTTCCCCCTGTTCCTATTTAGGCCGTTGACCTCTCAATCTAGTGTTAGTAGACTATCTTATGGACCCTAGTTCCCAGTTGATCCTCCCCCTTCTGCTATCACCCTGCCCAAGCGCTGGTATGGCTCACTGATGTGGACTTCACTGACCAGCTTGTTGGGAACTGATTTTAAATTCGTTCATGGGTCAAGGACATTGCTGGCTAGGCCAGCATTTATTCTTGTCCCAGAAGGCAGTTATGAATCAACCACATTGCTGTGGGTCTGGAATCACATCTGGTCCAGACCAGATAAGGATGGCAGTTTCCTTCCCTAAAGCACATTAGTGAATCAGTAGGTTTTCCCCGACAATCAGCAACGGTTTCGTGGTCATCATTCGACTTTAAATTCCAGATTTTTGTTGAGTTCAAATTTCACCACCTCTTGTGGTGTTTGATTTTGAACCTCGGTCCCCAGGACATTACCCGGATCTCTGGTTTAGCAGTCCAGCAATAATACCACGAGGCCATCGCCTCCCTGGTTTTTAGTAGCATAGCCTGCAGTAAGGCTACGAGATGTGTGAAAAAGTTCTGAGTGGTGGCTCCCCTTCACTTTCTGATTTTACTGCTTCCTGTGGCTCAGGTCTGTAAAAAGTCTATCCAGCATAATTCAGTGTTCTGAAAATCTATGAATTGAAGTCTGTAGCTTGCTTCTTTACACTCCTCGAGTTCCTGCAAGCATTGCAGCTCAACGGTAAGACTCTGTCTTCCAATTTTGCTCGATATAGCCCAGTTCCTCTTAATAGACCCAGCAGCTGGTATAAGTGTCTGCTCTCTTGCAGACATTGCGGTCACAGCCTCTGTGGCTGGTTTATGTGCAGGTGGGAAGTTTAATTTGTTGTTGGATGTAAAGCTAGACCTTCCTGGGAGCTGAAGCTTCCATTAAAGGTGGAGGAAGTCAGTACAGGTTGGTGATTGGGAAGCCACGTCAATGGTGAATCTGAACCTGTCTCCATTCAACAGGACATAACGAGCAATGTTTCTCATTTGCGTGGCTTCTCCAAGTCGATTGTCGAACCTGAGAAAATTGCATCTTGTAAGCTCCTATGGATGCAAGAACACCACTTCATTTATACTGTATCTTTGTTACTCATAGTCAATGCACCATAACACTTGAGCACTGTATAAGCTCTGAGAAACATTTTTAAATTTTTTTTTTCAGTATATTGAGAAAATCTGTCTTGATGACTTTGTAGCTGTAGTAAATGAGGACAGCCATGACATGGACCTGCAAGCAGCCAACTTAATACTGAAGCTGAAGCAAGGAGATGTTAAATTAAAGGTAGCACTTTGTTCTTGATCTTGAATTCCACCATTCTCTCCCTGGGCAGTTTATTTCTCCAGCAAACATTTCTTATTTCAATTAATATTCCTGTAACTTGCCTCACCCAGAAAGGTCTCAGTGCGTCACCTGTGGCAGATCTGTCAACACTGGAGGAATCCTCGAGATATGAATTGTTCACCAGGAGCACCTGTCAGACTGAAATTGTAAATATGGTTTACAGCAGCATGCTGCCTGTCACATAAGCAACAGGGAAGAGCCAAACAACATTAATGTAATATTTTCTAGCCTCCTTATCCCCTTTCTTTTTCTTGCCCTTGTGGAAGAGATCCAAAACTCAGGCCCTATTTGTTTGTTCTGGGTGGATGTTGAGGAGGAGCATTGAGTTCCTCTGCTTCACCAGCTGTTATCGACACTGACAAATAAAAAGCAGGTCAACTGTTCATTTGGCTTTTTGCTCATTTTGTGAGATCTTGCTTTGTGTAAAATAGTTGCTATGTTCACTTTGATACCCTTACTGTTAAAATGGATCACTTCATTTTGATGTTTCTGAGCAAGGCGATATTCTGAACAATGTAATTAGGCGATATATAAATGCGAGTCATTCAGTTCCTTCTGCTTATATGTTTTGTTCTTCTGTCAGCATTGTGTGCATCTAGAGTAGATAAAAGCACCACACGGCAAATGGAAGCAATCTCAGATTCTTATAATGAAAATTTTCTATTAAAGCTACAAATCCTCCAGTTGTCATTTGAGGATCTTTAACTGGTGTCCATGTCCTTTTTATCAGGATGGTGAAATACAAAACAAACCTCGAATCCCATGGCTTTTTATAATTGTCTTTTTTCATTCCTCTGTAGGCAGATAGTTTGGAGAGCCGAGAACAGTGGAAAGGTTTTATTCACACGGTTGCAAAGGTAATCCAGCTCTTATTCTCGTTTGTAGCCTGGATGACTGGTGGAATAAACATTGTCTGAATATTCAGAACCTATGCAATGCAGTAACTTGAGACCAAACAGAAGATGAATAGTGAGGATTGTGTAGCTCATTGAATGGACTCGAAAGGACCTTTTGATGGTCTGTTGCCTACAACCATTCAACTTTTTGACTGGTCTGTTTTGGAACACTTTGTTGGCCGTGAGTGCAGAGTAGATAGGTAGAATTCATATTAAGTAAGTTTAAATTGACTGGTTTGGCCAGAACAAAAGAGAGCTCTCCCTCTCCCTCCTTCTGTGTAGATTTTGTCCTCCAGATAGGCATGTCAGCTTTCAAAAGGGTACTGTATTTTTGAAAGTGTGCAATTTACCGTCCTCCAGTTAACCTCAGCAATTTATAAGCAGTCATAATTATAGAGATTCCTAAAGAATTCCTGAATGGTGACCTTAAAGGGTCAGTCCAATTAGAAAGTAAGAAATGCAAATATTTTTCCAGTTTTTGGAATACCCGTGAACAATGCCAAAGGAAAGTGGTGCTCCAAACTCTTCATATTAAACAGCTAAATAGATGCTAGGTTTTAAATAAGGAACTGTGATGTTTTTTTCATATACTGAGATGGTTGTTTTGATCTAAATGCTACTTTGCACATTTTCTTTCTGTAGTTGGAGATCCCCAACCTGGACCTCCTCCCTGGACAGTTTCATAGACTTAAGGAGGTACTTGAGGAAGAGATAAAACAACGCAGGAAGTCGACACCTCCACCACTCCCGGCACGACCAGCAACTCCAGACCCTGGAGACAGCTATGATGATGTAGAAAACCTGCCCAGGTATCTTGCTGGGATGTGGGAAGAAGGTTTGGGGATGGGGAGGAGGGGTAGAAGTGTTGGGGGAGTGATATAGATCTTGAGTTATTGAAGAGGAGCAAAGAGAAGAGAGGAAAACGAAAGGTTATGCATGTCCATCCCCTCATTTTTATTTTCTTCACTCCTTCTGCTGAAGGCGATGTCTTCATACAGCTTTACTCTCCAGTGCATCAGCAAACTGGTCAGTTTTCATTGACAAACTCTTCTGTTGTAAGGGGAGCATCATATTCTAGCTGAATGCCATTCTCATGGTTTTCAGTACTGGACTGAAGAAAATCAGAAGCACTGGATGAATTTGATCATCTCTAGCCCAACTAGGGAGCCCAACTGCTACCCTGATTTGATCATCTAATTAGTACAACCCAGAGATTAGACTTGGGACATTCTACATTTGTGTGGCTTCAGAGATAGAGAATCACTGGGGGAACCTGGAAACACTAATTGCTGAAAACTACACCCTGCATTATGATCCCATGAACATTTGAATGAAACCTTCCGAATTAATATTTTAATGGCAGGGTTTATCTATTCAGTTTGAAGGGACCAACACCTCCATGAAAAGACCAGACTAAAGAATTTGATGTGAAAGCATCATTGCATAACGCAGGCTTTGTGCATGTACAGCTTTCCATTTAGTTAAATCTTGTTAAGTTTTAACTGTTTTTTATCTTGATCTCTTCCAGATGCTACTATAAGATCTCACGGGTTGAGGCTGAGATCATGTTAGAGAGAAACATGGAGAATGGAAACTTCTTAATGAGACCAGGCAGTGACAATAAGAGCATTGCAATTACAACACGGCAAATGTTCAAAAAGTAAGAAAGAAAGAACTTGAATTTATAATAATTAGGGTCTTGCTGCAACTTTGTCATCCCAAAACACTTTGCAATCAATAGATAACAAGCATTGAATTAATTTTGAAGTACAGTGTATGTTATATTGTTGGATACAGCAGCCATTTTAACTATAACAATGTCCTGAAAACTGCAGGAGAATGACAAATGAAGAACTAATTATGGAGAGAAGATGGCCTAGTGGTATCATTGCTAGACTATTGAGGTAGAGACCCATTTAACGTCTGGGAATTCAGGTTTGAATCTGGACGTGGAAGATTGAGGATGAAATAACTCCACCGAGCCCAGTATCCTGTCACCAACTCATCCTTTGTTTACATAAGCGCAGTACATAGGCTCTGACCAGCCAGCTCAGAGCAAGTTCCTAGAAAGAAGAAACTCTCTGAATCTCCTGTTTATATCTGTCAGTCAGGGCACCCTAATATGCCCAGGTTAACAATCCCAATCAAGGATCTCATAGTCAATGAGGTGCATCTGGCCTTGGTTCCAATCACTACATTGGCTTTTGCATTCAGTTTTTAAAAAGTGCGGAATTAAGGCTCTAATCACAAAACTGTTGCCGATTGTCAGAAAAACTATCATCTTTACCTGGTCTAGCTTACACGTGACTCCAGACCCACAGCAATTTGGTTGATTATTATCTGCCCTCTGGGCAATTAAGGATGGGCAATAAATGCTGACCTAGCCAGTGACACCCACATCCCATGAATGAGTGAAGAAAAGGCTGAAAATACTCAGCAGGTGGAACAGGATCTGTGGAGACAGAAACAGAAGTAATGTTTCAGGTCAGTGACCTCTCTGGTAAGAAGTTGAGAATGCTCCAGGTTTTAGGGGGCGCAAGTCAAAGGTGGGAGGAGATAAGGAGTGTCTGTTATAGGGTGGGAAACGGAAGATATTAAATGACAAGGGGGATGATGGTGCAAGGTAAAAGCAGATAGAAATGGGACAAGTAAAGAAGTGAAATATGGGCCTTCGGAGGTTTAAATGGGAGCAACAGAATACTCACCAGCACCTGCTGTTCCAACTAAATATGGGGGCAGCGCTTAAGATCTGAAATTGTTGAGTTTAAAATGTTTAAGGTGCCTAATCAAAAGTTGAGGTGCTCATGCTCCAGTCGTGCTTCATTGACCAAGGATTGACCTTGGAGACCAAGGACATACAGGCCAGAGTAGAGATTAGAAATAAAAGCTTCGAATCATGCGTAAATAGAAATTTCTGCAGAGTGGCCGCCTAATGTGTATTTGCCCTGTCTGATGGGCTGGTTAGCTGGATGGATGATATGTGATTTACAGTGACGCCAATGATTCAGGTTCAATTCCCACCCTGGCTGAGGTTACCATGAAGGTCCTCCCTTCTCAACCTCACCCCTTGTCTGAGGTATGGTGACCCTCACATTAAACTCATCACTAGCTCCTCATGGGAGCACGAGGCAGCGCCGATACAGTCATCAATGTAACGGAGGAAGAGGTGGCGTTTAGGGCCAGTGTAGGTACAGAAGAGGGATCCCCATGAGGAGCTCGAACAGTTCATCCACCTCACCAACACCTTCCGCCCCAACCTTAAGTTCACCTGGACCATCCCCAATACCTCTCTCTCCTTCCTGGATCTCTGTCTCCATCTCTGGCAACCACCTAGAAACCGATATCCATTTCAAGCCCACCGACTCCCACAGCTACCTAGAATACACCTCCTCCCACCCACCTTCCTGCAAAAATGCCATCCCCTATTCCCAATTCCTTTGCCTCCGCCGCATCTGCTCCCAGGATGAGGCATTCCACTCCCGTACATCTCAGATGTCCTCATTTTTCAAAGACCGCAACTTCCCCCCCCTTCAGTGGTCGAGAACACCCTCGACCGTGTCTCCCGCATTTCCCACAACTCATCCCTCACATCCCCTCCCCTGCAATAACAACCAAAACAGAGTCCCCCTCGTCCTCATGTACCACCCCACCAACCTCCGGATCCAAAGCATCATCTTCCGACACTTCCACCATCTGCAATCCGACCCCACCACCAAAGACATTTTTCCCTCCCCACGCTTATCTGCTTTCCGGAGGGACCACTCTCTCCAGGACTCCCTTGTCCGCTCCACACTCCCCTCCAGCCCCACCACACCCGGCACTTTTCCCTGCAACCGCAGGAAGTGCTACACCTCCCCCCTCACCCCCATCCCAGGCACCAAGAAGACTTTCCACATCAAGCAGATGTTCACCTGCACATCTGCTAATGTGGTATACTGCATCCACTGTACCCGTTGTGGCCTCCTCTACATCGGGGAAACCAAGCAGAGGCTTGGGGACCACTTTGCAGAACACCTACGCTCGGTTCGCAATAAACAACTGCACCTCCCAGTCGCGAACCATTTCAACTCCCCCCTCCCATTCCTCAGATGACATGTCCATCCTAGGCCTCCTGCAGTGCCACAATGATGCTACCCAAAGGTTGCAGGAACAGCAACTCATATTCCACTTGGGAACCCTGCAGCCCAATGGTATCAATGTGGACTTCACAAGCTTCAAAATCTCCCCTCCCCCTATCGCATCCCAAAACCAGCCCAGCTCGTCCCCGGCTCCCTAACCTGTCCTTCCTCCCACCTATCCCCTCCTCGCACCTCAAGCCCCACCCCCATCTCCTACCTACTAACCTCGTCCCGCCCCCTTGACCTGTCCGTCCTCCCTGGACTGACCTATCTCCTCCCTACCTCCCCACCTACACTCACCTTTACTGGCTCCATCCCCACCTCTTTGAGCTGTCTGTCTCCTCTCCACCTATCTTCTCCCCTCTCCCTATTTATTTCAGAACCCCCTTCCCCTCTCCCATTTGTGAAGAAGGGTCTAGGCCCGAAACGTCAGCCTTCCTGCTCCTCTGATGCTGCTTGGCCTGTTGTGTTCATCCAGCTCTACACCTTGTTATCTCAGTAGGCAGAAAGCCAAATTTCTGGATAGTTTGGTCATGGGATGTGGGCATTACTGGCTAGGGCAGCATTTATTGCTATTCCCTCAATACCCTTGAGCAGGCGATGGTAAGCTACTTCGTTGAATTGCTGCAAATCATGGGAGTTAGCTATCCACATATCTGTGAAGAAAGGGAATTGATAAGTAAGACCCATTAACAGTGAAGGAAGAGCTCATACAGTTCCAAATATTTGAAGAAGCCCCCTCAGTTGCAACTTCATTAAATGTGCTTGGGTTCATTAGACCACGCTTCTTCTCCCATCATTAAGTTGGGTAAGGATTAGGTTGCAAATGTTAGGAATACAAAGTATCTCTTTCAAACAATAAGAGTTAAATTTGCAACAAATTACAAAGTTAGGATTTGAAAGCTTAATGGCTTAGACAGACAATGTAACTATATGAAAGCAAAAAGCAGTAGAATGTTATTTTGTGGAGAAACCTTGGACTGAGCCAAAATGCAACTTGGAAGAAAGCAATCAACGGTGAAAATAAATGATTAGGTAAATGTCAAACGGGTTTCAGAAGTCTGTCTATTACAGAGGGAAAGGAAGACTCAAGGTGTTATGGGATTGCAAAGTTTACATGTCCTGAATAAATACAAGTTAGTCAGAACCATTGTGATAAGGGCATGAGACAATGGTCTTAGAAGTAGAAAATGTTAGTGATTTGCTTAAAGTAAAATTTTATTTTACATTTTCAGCAAAGCACTTATAAAGCATTACCGAGTCCACTGTGCAGAAAATGGATACATAGTTGAAGTCGAGGGTGGAGTAAGTAAATGGCTGTATAATTATTTCTCTATAAAATAATTCTCATACTGAGAGGCACAGCTGACAGATGTACCTTCCATTGTTGTTCTGGATGACACGGGGCAGGAAGGTGCCTGGGTTTGAGCAATCAGATTTAGACTGGCAATCCTCCTGAGTTAGACTTTCGGGTTACAGAGAGGAAGAATCACCCTGCAATCTCATACTGAAATTGCTACTCAGTGAGCGATATTAGAAAGTGTAATTATGTAGTTGTCGGGGGAAAATAGAGTGAGCTTTGTGATGAAATCACCTATTACTGATGCTTGTGTGTCCACGATCACTTCATTTCAAGCAACTCACTGAATTGCTGGAGAAAGATAATATGTGGGAACTATACCCCCATGAGGAGTCAGCATATATAGGCAGAAATATATGCTAACATGAATGTTTTTAGAACTTATATTTGTTATACGTGATCATAAACTGATCATAATACTTTTTGGCCAATTCTAAACTAGTATTAATTCTTCACTCCTACATAAGAAAGTTTGAAGTTTTGAAACTCTGAACTTTGAGTGCATTCCTTTGCAATCATGGGAAAACATTCACAATCTTCTCTGCCAACCTTGTCACAAAGCTAAAATACGTTTTACATCTCTGTCAGTCAACCCTTCATCACAGATAACATCTCTGTCTTCAATGCCAATTCCACATGTACTTGCATACATACCATTCATGTTTTAATGTTTTAATGTTGGTAGGAAATGATTACAGCAAATGTTTATCATAACTTTAAAATGGTGCTTTGGCTAGCTGATGTTGAGACTCCGTCTGATTCCAGACCAAAATAGAACTTACTCCTCCAGTCAGTTGTATTTCTTTTTCTGTCTGGTGTCAGCTTGGGTTCTTCCTGATTCAGTTCACAATGTAACTGCACCCTCATTGTAAAGTAAAACTGCTTCACACCAATCCTACAGGTTCAATGTGAGACATATGCACTCTAAGTACCAATATTCTGCTTTGTCTGTTAATCAAGTTGTGTTAAAGCCTTAACAAAATTTTCTGATATTTTCCAGATCTTGTGCAGCAGCAAGCAGGAAGTAATCAATTATTTTGTTCAACAAACCAATGGAGTTTTGAAGCCTTTGGAAAGATCAATGGACTATGAAGTCAATATGAGTATGTTTCGTCTTTCATTGTTCATAGATCTATTGGTTATTTCACAAATAACAAATGATTACACTGAACACAGAGTCATAGAGTCTTACAGCGTGGAAACAGACCCTTGGGTCTAACCAGTTCATGCTAAACATAATCCTAAACTAAATTAATCCCACCTGCCTGCTCCTGGCCCACATCGCTCCAAACGTTTCCTCTTTATGTATTTATCTAAGTGTCTTTTAAACATTGTAACTGTGCCCACCTCCACCACTTCCTCAGGAAGTTCATTCCACATGCGAACCACCTTCTGTGTAAAACATTTGCCCCTCATGTCTCTTTTAAATCTCTCTCCTCTCACTTTAAAAATGTGTCCCCAGTCTTGAAATCCCCCATCCTAGGAAAAAGACACCTATCATTAACCCTAATTATACGCCACATATTTTATAAAACCCTGAGGTCACCTCTTAACCTCCTATGCTTCAGTGAAGAAGTCCAAACCATGATTACTTGCTGGCGGAGGGATGGCTGGGAGACTTATTTTCTGCAGTGATCCTTCATTATGCACAGAAGATGTAGACTGACAAGTTTTAAAGTTTTGTCATGGCTAATCATTTGGCTACACTAATCCTAGTCATTCCCATAAGCATTCTGAGCATCTTAGAGCTAGGAGAATGTCTGTACCACTCAATATTTAACCTATGATGATAAAAGCCAGGAGTGGAATGATAGTGTTCTCTAATGACCTGACTTCGATGTTATTCTTGGTTGCATACTTGGTTCTTCAATCACTTGGAAGCCAGACCAAGCCAATATATGATGACATGAGGGCATGTGCACATTGTTAAACTGCTGTAAAAGTAGAAAGCAATAGCTGAGTGGATTAAGTTGGCTCAATTGGTACTGCTACTCTTGGCACATTATGACATAAGCCAATGCTTTTACCCCAGCACTTGACCATGTCTAACATAGTCCTGAAAGAATGTCACTCTACCATCTTTCTGGGTAGTCAGATACCTACTACAAATTGGACTGTCAAGCTAAGAGGCAACAAGGTGCAGAGCTGGATGAACACAGCAGGCCAAGCAGCATCATAGGAGCAGGAAGGCTGACGTTTCGGGCCTAGACCCTTCTTCAGAAGGGTCTCCTGAGGAAGGGTCTAGGCCCGAAGCATCAGCCTTCCTGCTCCTCTGATGCTGCTTGGCCTGCTGTGTTCATCCAGCTCTGCACCTTGTTGTCTCGGATTGTCAAGCTAAGACCTTGCTTACCAGTGAAATTTCCCAGTGTCCTGTTAATGTTCTACCCTCAATGAACACCATTATAAACTATATAAACTGGTCATTCATCTCGGTTACTGTTTCGAATCCCTTGCTGTATATGAACTTACTGCCATAATTATCTGTATAATATGGAATACTGCATTCAATTCTGGTCTCCCAGAAGGATGTTGCAAAACTTGGAAGAGTTCAGAAAAGACTTACAAGGATGTTGCCAGGGTTGGATTGTTTGAACTATAGGGAGAGGCTGAATAGGCTGGGGCTATTTCCCTGGAGCATTGGAGGCTGAGGGGTGACCTTTATAGAGGTTTATAAAATAATGAGGGGGATGGATAAGGTGAATAGCCAAGGTCTTTTCCACGGTGTAGCGAAGTCCAAAACTAGAGGCCATAGGTTTAAGGTGAGAGGAGAAAGATTTAAAAGGGACCTAAGGGACAACATTTTCATACACAGGGTGATGTGTCTGGAATGAGCTGCCGGAGGAAGTGGCGGAGTCTGGTACAATTACAATATTTAAAAGGCATCTGGATGGGTAGATAAATAGGAAGGGTTTAGAGGGATATTGGCCAAATGCTGGCAAATGGGACTAGATTAATTTAGGATATCTGGTCTATTTTCATGCTGTACAGTTCTATGACTCTAATAGTGACTGTAGTTCAGAAAATAATTTAACCAGTGTGATTAAATATGTTCAGAATGTTATCTAAATGTAGATTCTTTCCTACATTTGTTTTTCACCAGTTTAATCTTATAACCAATCAAATTATCACAACTTTGTTTGAAGCAATGCAGTTATGTCCAAAATGTATCTATTCTCTTTTTTTTTAAACTATCCCTTCAGTGACCTATTTTCAATTGGTAAAAAGATAAGGTTAATATTAACCTAAGCTGCCTGACAAGAAATTGGCATGGCTGCATTGGCCATCATTTATTATTAAACTACTGGCCAATTTCATTTGATTGATATCCTGTATAACAAGCCTGTGATTGAGTTATGTCAATGCCACCTACTCCCCCCACCCCCTGCCAACCCAGCTTGGTCAAATTATGTTAAAATTAACTACATCTCCCCCCGTTTACTCTAGAATTTCACCCTTGAGAGATATTTGATACAAAGAGGACGTAATTGCTTGTGAACACCACTGTGTCGATCTTGTGTAAAACACCCATCAAAGTTGCTATCCCTGTCACTTTATTTTAGGTTTTGTGCAGGAAGATGTTGAGAGTGGTGAAGTGATCCATCAGAAGCCCCTAAAAAGGACAACCAAGACATCACTCCCAGCAGGTAATCTGATACCTGTGCAGTGACTTTCTGATGTTGGTTATTTGTTGTCTTTGAGAAGAGAGCGACCTGCAAAAAACAACCCAAATACTTGTCGCCTTCAGTTGCAGATGAAAAGGCTAAAGATATTAAGTGAGAGATAGTAGGAACTGCAGATGCTGGGTCTAGGCCTGAAATGTCAGCCTTCCTGCTCCTCTAATGCTGCTTGGCCTGCTGTGTTCATCCAGCTCTACACCTTGTTATCAAAGATATTAAGTGCATTATTTGCAGAGGGGGGAAACTTAGAGTTTATTTCATTGAACTTTCTAAGGTTAGAAATAGAACTTAATTAGTAAGAGGATCAAAGGTTGTAGGGAGAAGCCAGGAGAATGGGGTTGAGAAACTTATCAGCCATGATTGAATAACAGAGTCTATTTCTGCTCCTATATCTTATGGTCGTATGGTCTAATGAGTGACATTGACCAGGCATAAGTCAAGTAGCAAGAAACAGTTGATTTATGAATGGAAAGAGAAGTTAGGCGAACATTTCCAAAGGGTAATGTATCTTTGTAATAGGTTAATGGGTACATGCTGTAAAACAGGCAGCATTAAGTATTCAGAAGAAGCTTTGGCATGTGATAAGATTATACGAATTGCTGAGTTGGTGAGAATTCCCCTATTGTCTTTGTTAATGGGAGAAACCATTGGTCCAGGGTTTGAGTGCTGGAAGTACAGAGTCTGATGATCGATAATTGAAAGATGAATGATGGGTGAATGTTTTTGGGTAGAAACCTTGCCTCAGAATTGATGAAAGAAACAGAGTGCTTCCTTGTTAAACTGTCCAAAATGACCAACACAAAGACAGGAGCCAAAGAGAGAGTAGCAGCAGATAAAGAATAAGATAACAGAAATTCTATCTCTTAAAGAAGAGACTAAAGTATTTAACAGCATGTGTAAACATTATAAAATTGAGCAAAGTGCTGGATGATAAAAGATGATGATCTAAGTCAAGCTGCTGAAAATATGTTAGAATAACAAGAAAGGAAGAATGATACAATATACAAGGGACCTTATTGAATATGAAACTCACAGACAAAAGGGGCAACATAGAGGCCAGGCTTTTCCAGTTTTTCGAATAAATCTGATTGGTTATCAGGGGGTTTTCGCCTGGAATTAGCACCCTGGAGCAGGAGGCTCTGTACAACTGGAGTTACTGGCAAACCAGAGACCGGCAGCTTCAGAACCTGATGACACCACAGTGAAGGCCATGGTCGCTGCTGAGATATTGTCCCACTCATCCCTCCATCCCCCTGTTCCCCAACACCACCCATACTGTTCCCCACTGCTGGCTCCCAGGAAAGGTAAGGGCATTTGGTGAGAGTCATAGGGAGAAGGAAGGAGGCAAAGTCTGGTCTTCCTCTCCTAGATTGAGTTCAGCAATCTTGCACAAATTTTGCAGATCAAAGGAACCACCCTGCAAGCTGACAATTTCCCCATACTAGTTTACCCTTTGTATAGGTGGATACTTTCTCATCCCACCTAGAGCTAATATAATTGCAGGGATTTACCCTTACTAAAAGTGATTGCATTGACCAATCTAAACAACCTCAATTGGCAGTGGGATGGGAGTGTTTGGGTATTGCCGCTCAGAATTTAATTCCTATAGTGGTGAGAAGATTGTGGGTGTCTGCCTGATGCCAATCTGCCTGATCATCTTTCTTTCCAGCTACTTTCCCTCCTCTGTTTTTCAGGAGGGGAAGTTCCATCTGTAAAGTTGTTAGGGGTAGTATGTGTATAGGAGAAAGGTGCGAGGCTGTTTGTGTGGAGCTTAAGGTGGCACGTGGCTCAGTTGTGAGCACTGCAGCCTCACAGCGCCAGGGACCTGGTTTCGATTCCACCCTGGGGCAATTGTCTGTGTGGAGTTTGCACATTCTCCATTTGTCTGCGTGAGTTTCCTCTGGGTGCTCTGGTTTCCTCCTACAATCCAAAGATGGATAGTTTGGGATGGATTGGCCATGCTGAATTGTCCATAGTGTCCAGGGATGTGCAGGCTAGGTGGATTAGCCATGGGAAAGGCAAGATTACAGGGATAAGATGGGAGGGTCACTTTGGACTTGCTGGGCTGAATGGCCTTCTTCTACACTGTGTAGAGATTCTACGATTCTAGGTTGAAATTAGAAAGCTGGAGTGAGCATGGGAGAGGCAGTTGAAGCCGTGAGTCAGAATGGTGAGGCTTTTGCCTGTAGATAGCATGTAGATGTTTACTGAAGTAGTCACTAAGTTTGAGTTTAATGTCTCCATTACAAGCAACAAATACCATGGGAAGGAAGTCCACCATATGAAGGGGTTCTCCTATTTTTCTTCAATCAATCTGATGAAGGGACCCTATCCAAATAGTGATGTATATTTATGTTTAGTCATTCTTCTTGTTACCTTGTCATTATTCTCTTCTTCACAGGGAAGGAAGAGAAACCAGGTCCAAGGTTTCCTGAGATCATGGAACCAGAAGCAGAGTACCTCAATGATTATGGTAAATTCTTTTTCTCTCTGTGTAACGTCCAATGCACTGTTGAAATGTTAAATGTGATTAACTATCCCTAGCTTATGATGAATTCCAACATAGTATTCATATTTTTATTTTCCAATTTTTACCCATTTTTTTCTGATGGTACAGTCTCCTGCTGGGTAAGGTTACACAGATTTTCATCTATTACCATGTTCCTGTGACTAGGTTGATTGTCAGCATGATCCCAAGAGTATCATAGCTATCTTGGCAATTGTGTCCTCACTCAATATCGCATGGGGCACCTTCTAATAGAAGTAACTACAGCCATCAGAAATAGACCCATCCTTAGCCCAAGAATGCTGACATATCAATCTGAGTAAGGTTTAGTTAATTTACCACAAACCAGGGAATAAACTTAGGGCTGTCAGAACAAGATGATGCAGTTCCACATTGGTTAACATCTTTACCAATTCAACAGTTTGGGATATTGTACGTGATCAGACTTCAGATAATAAAACTATTCCTATCCTGAAAGAAACATTGTTGTTCTAGTATTTCTGGTTGTTTCAACATAGTCAAGTGTCAGCTGACAACTCAACAACCCGAATCTTGGTGTCCAGAACCTGGGGTCACAGTACAAGGATTCGGGATAGATGACTTAGGATGGAGATGAGGAGACGTTTCTTCACCCAAAGAGTGGTGAGCCTGTACAATTCCTTACCACAGGAAATAGTTGATGCCGAAACATTGAATGTATTCAAGAGGCAGCTAGATATAGCACTTGGGGTGAATGGGATCAAAGATTATGGGGAGAAAGCAGGACTAGGCTATTGAGTTAGACGATCAGCCATGATCGTGAAAAATGGCAGAGCAGGCTTGAAGGGCCGAATGGCCTCCACCTGTTCATATCTTCTATGTTTCTATGACTGGAAGTTACTGCTTGGTCCCAAAATGCTATCAAGGTTAACCATAGGCTGTTGTTGGGAAGTCTAAACTGTGATAATACTTGAGAGGCTCTGATAAATCCCTTTATTATAGCTGGGAGTATGTGCCAATTTAGCTTGACTACATTTTCTTAAAGAGGTATTTAAACTTTGACACTGGTGCCTTGATAATGTCTCAGTTTTAAAGCTCTCACCCCTGTGTTTGAATCCTTCCTTTGCTTTATCTTTCCCTGTCTTAGTAACTTCCTATGGCCCCACAATCTTCTGTGATCTCTCTGTTCCTCCAATTTGAGGTTCTTATGCTTCTCAGTTTTTATTAAAGCGTTGAAAGTTATACCCTTTTCTCCATTTAGTCTCCGTTTTAAATTATTCTTTAAAACCTACATCGTCGATCAAGCTTTTCGTCACCAAGTCACATGCAGAGATATTGGGTTAGGGGTCAAATTTTGTCTAATAATGCTCCTGTGGAGTATCACAGATTGTTCTTGACATGTTACAGGGACTCTATCAATGCAAGTTCTTGTTACTTCAAGACCACTGTAAGTAACCAGTCCAAAGATGCGCAAGTTAGGAGCACTGGCCATGCTAAATCGCCCATAGTGTCCAGGGATGTGCAGGTTAGGTGGATTAGCCATTGGCAATGCAGAGTTACAGGGATAGGGTAGGGGTTGAGTCTGGGTGGGATGCTCTTCAAAGGTTCAGTGTGGACTTGATGGGTCCAATGTCCTGCTTCCAAACTGTAGGCATTCTGTGATTATTATGACATTTATTCAGGGCTGCTGTGCCAGATAAGAATAATCACTACACAATCCTTTCTGGCAGAGTTCCAGAATTTGTGGTAAATCAACAGCAAGTTTCTTTCTACAGATGGTTACATGTTTCATTCTGCAACCACACCCTTTACTGATGCAATCTGTTTACCTCAACATTTTACAAGTACATTTTTAAAATACTTTGCTGGACTGTGTGCATCACTGTCAAAGCCTTGTTGCCCATCTCTAATTGCCTTTGAGAAATGGTAGTGAAGTGCTTTCTTGAACTCCTGCAGTCTATCTGTTAAGTATTGTCCAGGAGCGGGTGATTGGCTTTCAAATGGCATAGCAGCAGGAAGATATACCACATCCCACAATCGTTTCCCATCTCTAGGCCTAGTGTCAAAGGATTAGTAAAATTTGAGACAGTGAGTCTGGCTTACTTTCATCCTAGAGATGAGGAACTATTATATCTCTGTGGGTGTGAATTATTTGAATTTCCTTCATAGAATTCCTATAGTGTGGAAGCAGGCCACTTATCCCATTGAGTCCACACCAATTCTCCGAAAAGCATCCCACCCAGACCCACACCACTACCCTATCCCTGTAACCCTGCATTTTCCATGGCTAATCTACCTAACCTGCACATCCCTGGAATACTCGGGGCTATTTAGCATGACCAAGCCACCTAACCTACACATCTTTGGACTGTGGGAGGAAATTGGAGCACCCAGAGGAAACCCAAGCAGACACGGAGAATGTGCAAACTCCACACAATTACCTGATGGTGGAATTGAACCCGAGTCCCTGGTGCTGTGAGGACGCAGTGCTGCCCTCAAAAGGCAGAGGATACAAAATCTTTAAATAATTTTCAGGCAAACATAGATTGATTCTTGATCATCAAAGGGATGGAGGATTATTGGGGGCATGCAGGAATGTTGTAATGAAGTTAAAATTAGATCAGCCATGATCTTTTTGAAAAGTGGAGCTGACCTGAAGCGCCAAGTGGTCTACACTTCTCCCTTGTTTGTATGTTCATATAATGAAGCATACTATCTGGCCTTTTGGTGTGCTGATGTTAAGCATGTACAATAGAGGCCAGCTGCTGCACATTGTGAAGAATCAGTCAGACCCAGACATGCTACTTTTGAGAACATGAACGGTGATTGGCAGATCTGATTTGTTACGTGCATTAAAACCATTTCACCGCTTTAATTTTTCAAAACTTTCACATTTAAAAGAGCTGCAATAAGTCATTATTTTGTATTGTACAACCCATGGACTTGAATATTTGTAATTGTTGAGCCTTGTTTCTAACTGAAGCACAGAATTAAAAAGGTGCTAAATTACTTACCCCAGCTTCAAATGCAAAGGATATTTATTTATCCCTAGTTAAATGTTCTGTTCACTGCATATAGCCCACACCATCACCATTCATCTTAACATTCTGTATGGATTATTCTAGTAAAGTACAGTATTCCAATTTGAAACATTCATCTAAATCTAAAGAGGCATTTCCAGGTGCAAATTATGAGTTATCATGTTTGCTCCCCTTCCACAGCCTCACCTGGTTGAAGTTCAATAAGATAGCATGACTTGGCCTTGTCTTTCTTATTTTTCTAAGCTTTGTAAGTTTAATGTCAGTTTGGTTGTTTCTCAGATATTTTCTAAACCTGTTCCTCCCAAACTCCAGACACACTGGTCCTTCAAGTTCTGATGCTTGCTTGCATTTCCAACTGAAGGAACCATTTCCTAATCTGATTCCAATTGAGAATCAGCTGTGACTGAATGGTAAGACTCCTCCTGGTTCCATCGGATTTCCACGTTCAGTCCTGAGACTTAACGCACATAATCTAGGCTGACGTGCCAGTGAAATACTGAGGAGAAGCTGCATTGTTTTTGGTGGCATCTTTCAGAGGAGTTATTAAACCAAACTCCTGCCTATGTTTTAGACAGATGTAAACAACGTCATAGCTGTAGAAGAGAGGGAATTTAACCTAGTGGCCTGCCTAATAATTATCTATCAATCTTAATTGTGATCTACAAAAAAAAAGCAAAGGTGAAGTAAGGAAAAACTTTCACTCAGCAAGTAGTTAGGGTATGGAATGCACTGCCTGGAAGTGTAATGGGGGCAGGTTCATTTGAGGGTATCAGGTGGAAGCAGGGGATTGCCACTAGGTAATGATGTTCATTTAATGAACTGGTACAGCCATGATGGGCTGATTAGCCTCTTTCCGCACCATATCACTTCTGTAATTCTCTGAATTAGTGTCTCATTGGCTTTGGAATGTTGCAAAGAGCATGATGTTCTTTCTCTCAGATTGAAAGGTCGGGGGAGTTAGTGAATACCCCTCTCACATCTCTCTCCATCTTTTCACAAACTCTTTGTTTGAATCTATCCAAACGAGCTTTTTTCCCTATACCGAAATAGTTTTAACCAATCCCACAAATGACATTTTCTGTCATCTGTGTGTGTGGTGCATTATCATTTCTGCAACTTTAAGCATTGCCAACAATAGCATCCTCTTGCAATTGACCAGTCTTTAACTGATTTCACTCTTACCTATCCAACCGTGACTAAAGAATCTGTACCAATATCTTATCTTCTAATCCTGTAGAATTACCCATTAAATCACCGAAAGATTCATGTTTAATCCACACTAATGTCACCGACAGAAATAAGATCAGCTTCCACATGTAGATAGATGTGACATCCAGTTATACCTTTCAAGCACTTCCTTCCCCTTCTGTTAATAAAGACTGCCTTACAATTTAAAGAAGCTGTATTTTTGTTCTGAAAGTAGACATTAGGAAAACTATAGCTATCCTATTCAATTCCTTCCCAGCTTCACATTCTCATCATTAACCACATTTTCCTCCCAGCTGCTGGCCAAAGACTATTATTACTTGCCCTCAAATTACCTAAATACAAAGATCATCAATTTCCACTCCAAATCATTTCTGCCCTACGTTGGCCTATCTGTAACTGAAATGTTATCCCAGCCTGTGTTATCTCAGGATTCAGCTATCTGAAAGCTCTCTTAGTCAACCTACCATCTTCCACCCTCCTCAAACTTCAGCTCATTGAAAACAACGGACTCATGGATATTTACACACATTCTTAACCATCCATCATCGCCAGAAAATCAGCTGTAATTACTCTCTACCCATTCCTGCACTGTTACTTCATATGTCCCCCAAGGATTTATTCTTTGCAATTCTCCACAGCTCACATTATTATGAATACAGCATGACTCTAAGGCACCTCTCTCATGTTATCTAGCAGTTGCCAGTGGCAGTGCCTGGACTTTCTGGGATTTCCCTCATT